AATTACTATTGGATAGAATACCAACTAAAAAGAACCTGTTGAGAAGAGGGATCATCAAAGACATGAGAGAAAGCAAGTGTGAAATATGTGCTAAAGAAGAAAAGGACACGACACACTTGTTCTTAAGGTGCAGGATCACTCGATGGCTATGGAAGGCCTGTGCAAAGTGGTGGGGGACTAAAGTTTCGTTGGAAGCGGACTGCTGGAATACCTTTCAAAAATCCGGAGTAGAGTCTAAAGAGCCAAGCATCAAAGAAGGGTGGGATTGCATATGGAATTCATTTGTTTGGTCCATATGTTTGGCTCGAAACCAAAAGCTTTTCCAAGGCAAAGAGATCAATCTAAGGAAGTTTTTTGAACTCATCCAATTGAGATCCTTTCTTTGGATTAAATATAAAAATGACAGAATGAAAAGCAACCTCTTGTCAATATCCGATGGGTTCCAGGATTTGGTATCATGCTTAAGAGATGCTACAGCAAGAAGAAGGCAAAATAGGGCGATAATTCTAGGTTAAATAACTGAATTCATAGGAAGGGACTAATGGTGTCGACACTAAACGGGAGGTCTAAGCATCCTGAGTCCGATACGGACGTGGTGTCGACACATAATTTTGGTGTCGACACCAAACGCAAGGGCTGAGCTTCCAAATTCCCGACACAAATGTGGTGTTGACACATAATTTTGATATCGGTACCAAATGAAAGGGACATTTGAGATTTGGCTATATAAATCTATACCTTTCAAGTTGGAATGTTTATAAGTTTGGAATATCCTTTCTACTTTATCTTTTTTCAATAAATATCACTTTTGCTGTTAAAAAAAAAAACCAAATTAAATGGGGCGGTCAGGACTTAATTAGGACTCAGGTGACATGGACTGTGACCTTCACTCGGGCGCGAGGAGCAGTGGGAATTTAAATGTTTCCACCATTTCCATTTTTGTGCTGCAAAGATTGGATTTGAAACCATTGCAGCTCTTCACGTTTACTTCTGTTTCTTCTCCACTTACTCATCACTCCAAAAAGTTATCAGGGCAACCTAGCTACCCTCTTCTGTTCACGCGAATTCGATTCATCTAACCATCTTACCAAAAAAGGAAAAAAGATTGAATTTTGAGCCAAGATGCCTCTGTTTCTGGAAACATATTCAAATTTTTTCATACCCACTATTTGTTACTCCGGACTTATAAAAACGAAAAAAGTTTTTTCCTCTTCCAAAAGCTGACATTATATGTATGCACCTATGGGACTTGGGACATCCTGATATGGGTACATATTCAATTAATGAATACAAGGTAGGGTTGGTATATGTATATCAGACATAAACTCAAGAATAATACTGATGGCCCTCGCAGATACTGAAGATCTGAGACTTTCCATTCCCAAACATGATAGTATCCATTAGAGGAGGGTGTTATAATATAATAAAGACAGCAGCAAATTAATTAATCACGTTACTAATTCTCTTTTTACAAAACAAAAAAAAAAAAAGGAAAAAAGAAAAAAACAGAATAGATGACATTTCTGTAGAAATTAACAGTGACGACAGGACTCTTC